ATGGCAGCTGCTGGTGCACAGCCCTTCCCTGACCTTGGCCTCCCCAGGCTTGTGAGGGTGGCCAAGAAGATTCTCACAGCAGTGTTACTGACAGTACTTCACCCTTGAGTGGACGGTGCTGCATCAGAAGGGCTTTCTCTGCTCTTCATTAACAGGACTGCTGCCTCATTCAGCCGTGAGCACCGCTTGTGAGTAGCCGATCCCCCGGCAGAGCATGCATGGCCTCTGCCCCAGGGCAGACTGGAGTTGGCCTGGCTTTAGGGGAATGGCGCCAGGCACCAAGGAATTCTGTTTGATCATTGTTATCTGGCAGCGGTGAGGACAGAGGCAGGAAGGCAAAACTTCACAAGTAAATGGTTTCATGAATGGGAATGACTCCTTCACTGTGTTACAGCCTATTATTGCCTTTCCCCAGTATGCTTATTACTAAGTGTCTGTTGGAGCACGGCTGTCACCAAGCAGCCTTTGTGTTTGTGGGTTTCAGGGTTTCCAGTTTTTTCTGGGGTGGAAAACTTGGTTGTTGAGCAGGATGGAAACTGGCTGGCCAAGCTGCAAGTGCACGGACAGGGCAGTTCCACACAGCCAGAGGCTGGTGCCAGGGGCACTCAGACTTGTCCCCTGAGGCTTGTTTTGTTCCTTCATTCCCTTCCCTGCAAGCATGGATGTGGTTGCAGGGAACCAGACTGGGAACCTGGCCTGCATTAAAGCTGTCCAGCTGAAAAACAAGATACAGGTCTGTACATAGCTATGTTTCCTGATCTGGTTCAGGACGGCTCCTCCAGCCCTGCTGGGGCTACAGTAAGAGGGGACAGCCCTGTTTCTGGGGACAGCAGGAGCTTATGCCAGCTCACCCCTGGGCTGCCCACTGTTCCCTGCAGCTGCTCACTGCTCTGCGCTAGTACCCAGGGAAGCAGCAGGAGGGAGACCTTCGTGTCAGTGGTGGTGGCTTCCAGGGGGGTGTGTTGCTGAAAAATTGGCAGGCTCCTCCTTAAGACTTTCCCTTATACCACACACACACAAGCTGGAGTTTCTCCCAGTTGCAGGCTCTCAGAACAGCTTCACTTGCCCACACAAACAGGGTGAAACTGTGAGCTTTATGCAACTTACCTTGCACCAGTGAGGTGGTGGGGGAGCCTGATGGCCACACTGCACCACTTAGTCTCTTCAGTGAGTCTTCCCCTGCAGCTGCAAGAGGGATGTTACAGAAGAGCAAAAGCAATATCTATCTATCTGAGCTAAAAAAATCAGATCATCCAGCCCCCAGCAACTGCGTCTCAAGGTGAGCTACTGAGATCAGCATAACAAGGGCTCTCTCTTCAGAAGGGGCCAAACAAGACACTTTTCATGTGATGGGACAAGGGTTTTGAAAATATTGCCTGTGAATTCTGAGGGGAGGGAGGGTGGGGATGGAGGAGTGACCCTGTCACCCTTCAAACTCACAATGTGGCTGCAGGTTCTGCCCTAAATCGTAGAGATATTCCTCCCACTGTACCTCATGGCAGGCTTCAGTAGTGATGCTTTCTGTGTTTTGGTTCACACAGTGGTAAGTTTTGAACTGGTTTCAAAAGCAGCTGGGAAAACAAACAAAACCCATTCTTGTTCTCTAGGCTGGACATTATAGGCTGATAAAGGGTGGGATGGGTTGCTGGAGGTCTTATGTCCAAAACTGCTCAAATAAAATGTGTTAGGTCAGGTCACTCAGGAGGTTGAATGTCCCACAGCTTCTCTGGGCCCCTGTTCCAGTGTTTGACCACCCTCACTGTGAAATTTTTTCCATACAGCTAATGAGAATTTCCTGTTTTCCAGCTTGTGCCCATTGCCTCTCATCCTGTCTGCCGAAAGTCCAGCTCTGTCTTCTCTATACCCTCCCACTAGGTAGTTGTAGATGACAATAAGATCCCTCCTTTACCTCCTCTCCTGCCAGCTCTCATCCTTTCAGTCAGCCCTGCTGCCATCCCATCTTTTGACTGCAGCAACCAGGTGATGGCCTCTCCTGGGGGTCAGGGGTGATGGGAGCAGCAGAGCAGGTCAGAGCTGTGAGCATTTGCCACTCGTCCATGTTAATTATGTAGTTAATTGGCAAGAGAGAAAGTGGCCCAAACCAATGTCAGGTCTGGCTGGGAGATGCATGCCAGCCTGCCCCAAGAGGAAAATTCCACCTTGCCTCATTCATTGCAATAAGGTACATTTATTGTTTAAAAACCTCCAGGCCACTCTGCCATAGCTGCTGCCACAGCACAGCTTTAATACAGAGCACTGCTCAAGTCCTTCTTGGTGGCACACCTGCAAGACTTGTCAGCTGCAAGAGAGCTGTCCCACTGCTGCCATCTCTCTCTCCATTTTCTTGTCTACAACACTCACAAATCTGTTTCCTCGTAAATAAAACCTGAGGGGTTTCTGTGTCCACTCTCCCCTGTTGCCAATACCAATCCTTGTTGTGGCTACCACGTCTGGCTGTCCTGGTAGATCAGGTCCAGGTACCATCCAGATGGCTGCATCTTGAGTCAGGTCCCTTTGGTCAAAAGTCTTATCAATCCCAAATGCCTGGCAGAGCTTGGAGGGCCCGTTACACAGCTGCCAGTCCTTCAGCAGCTTTGTGGGTCCTTTCCTTGAAGCACTGCGCATCTCTCTCATCACATCTAATCCCTGAAGAGGTTCCAAAGAGCGAAGCAATACTGCAGCCCCTTCCCCTGTGCGGAACAAGAACCAGGTGTTAGTACAGGGTTGTTAAGAACATCTCAGCTTTCAGCCCCACTGCCAGCAGAAGCACTTCAGCTCCTGAGCCCGCAGCTCAGCCTGATGGAGCAGGGATTTCCCTGCAGCACCCAACCACAAGGTCTGTCCTTCTGTTGGGTGGCTTCGCAACAAGCGCCAGGCTCTGGAGTCAATGCACTCCCTTCCCTTTTGAGAATGTCCAGTTCCCATAGCTCTGTGTCCTTTACTCATCAGTGCTGACTTGCTCTTCCCCAACCCCACTTCTCAATGTTACTAAGTTTAGCTGCTGCTCCAAGGCTTGCCAGAGGGCAAGAGGTTTTTCTTATGTCAGCACAATGTTCAGGAATAAATACATGTACGGTTCAGTTTTGGCACAGCTATCCAAAGCTGCTCCCAGACCCAGTGGATTTATAATAAACTCTGATTAAAAGAACTCCAGCTAACAAAGGAGAGGGGAACGGGTCTGGGTGCTGCCAGCAGAAAGAGCCTGCAGAGTTCGACTGGACAAAGAGAAACTTGGGAAGGAGCTGCAGGCACTAGGAGCAGCCGCTGTATGTATATGCTCCGGCTGCAGGCATTCCCAATTTGAACACCCACATGGAGGGATGACAATGGCTTTGGGTGACTGCACAGCCACATTGATAGCGAGCCCAACCCCTGTGCCAGGGAAGTTCTCACAAGATGGGAACCTGTGGCAGGATGGGGCTGCACAGTGTGGCTGTGGAATGCATGGCCCTGAAAGCATCACTTCAGTAGAGAAGTTCTTTCTGTGACAAGAAGTGAAGGAAACTGACAGATTCTCTTTTCAAAGATGGTTTGCCACCCATCAGGAGGCTGGAGAAACTCCAGCCGGTACAGCTTTTGTAACCAGCTGCCTTCCCTGATTTTGGTGACAGCAAAGGAAAGACGCAGCTCTGAGCACAGCCATTCCCCTGTGACAAGAATCTCCAGCCTAAGTGGGACATAACCACTTCCTTGCTCTTTTCCACTGGCCATCAGGGAAGGTCTCATGATCCGGAGTGGGCGAGGAGCACGGCTGGCACAGCAGCCTGAGTGCTGCCCCACACAGCACCCCTTGTGCTGGGGCCACCCACAGAATTCCTG